TTGCAGGTTTGTTCAAATGAAGTAGTGCAGTACAGTTGGTGTAACTACTTTCTTTATCAGTTTGACTCTTTTTTTTAAATATGACATTGTTATTTGCACACAGAGAAAACGTTATAAACCTTAATTAACAGCTCAGCTCAGCACACAAACACTTACATGTTCTTGAATTTTATTTACAGAAATGGTTGGTTACTACAGACTTTTTAGCTTTTATTTTGCACTTAAATGCTAACAATACAGTTTTCAGTCTCACACATCAGTAACTTTAACTACAAGAGAATAATGTCTTGCTGTCAAACATTGTGTATTAGCCTACAGGACAACATATTGTTATAGTGCCATAAACTTGTGGTAACATGACCTATGTTTTGTTTTGCAGGTATATTCTACATGTGTGCCTACAGAATGCATGAGTGCAGAAGAGTTGCAGGCCCACGTTAAAGTAAACAGGAAATAATGTGTCAAGGGTGCAAAGAATAACAATTCCCTCTCGAAAATTGAGAATTAACTGTAAAATAATAAAATTTGGAATTTGCTTATGCACCAAANGAGTGACAGGCTTTCATTACATAGCTCGCATTATTCACATGCAATGTGCCTTTTTTGCGTAAATGTGTGATGCATAAATTGTTTTTGTTTATTACATGATACATTTCTCATGGTTCTTTGCCATTATCATGTAATAAACAAAAACAATTTATGCATCACACATTTACGCAAAAAAGGCACATTGCATGTGAATAATGCGAGCTATGTAATGAAAGCCTGTCACTCTCACATGGTGGAGGCCCTCTAGGCCCACCTGTAAGACATACACTTTCTGGTTAACATTTTCTGATATGCAATCTACTTTATTATTTTTATCCCACATCTAAGTGTCAGTAGCAATTAACAAACGACCCGACATCATCTTACCTGAATTTATCAGGATAAATGAACCGTCTTAAGTACCAGCCTTTCCTCAGGGAAAGAGTGAGAGAGAGTGCAAGCCGGGAGAGAGTGAAACGTCAAAGAGGAATCCCTAGGCTGAACTCCAAAAAGTTATCCCCTCCACTTTTCTGTTGATGGAGGCACAATCCTCTAAAACAATCAGCACAGAACAAATGCACTTGAGCTGGTGGGCCAAAAGCCACGTGACTCTTTCACACTGAACTACATGGGAGTATTTTGGGGGGTCAGGGGAGAGGGGAGGGTGATTGATGGGGGAGGGTGTGGTATACGAGGGCGCTGCACTACAGTCCCCGTCTGTTGTTCTATATGGCATTCTGGAACTGTGGATATGCATAGGCTTGCAGTACTGCACCGGTCAATGGAACATGCTGAAGCGCGCACTTTCTTTCACTGTGGCTGGGGTGTGGTTACGGGGACACGCTTACAACAGACCCATGACCAAAGAGCTGCTTAAAAAACAGAGTGCTTAACATGTTCACTCTGAATATGTAACACCATGGCAGAAACACTGACAGTAAAAGGCTGCCAAATACTGAATATGAAAAATATAATGCAAGCTATATTTGGCATGCATATAATAACACAAATATAATGCACACGTAGCAATGTTATTCACACAACTTAATTAAAGCATTAACAGCTGCTATGATGGAGGGGTTATTCGAGGTTAGTAAATTAATTTGAGAACAGGTAATTACATGTCAAATGGTCTGTGTTAATATTCAGGAAAATGTCCTCTGGGACACCTGAGCAGTGATTCCATCTTTTGTAATTAGCTACCTAATTATTCCACATAAGGGATTTTTGTAGGTAATTAGATTTATAGGACAATACAATAAGAATACCCTGCTTGATAACGAATAATGCAAAAGATAAAAACACAAGGTACCAAGCTTATTTCTAAGGTGGACGCATGAAAAAAGTCTGATACTAGGAAAACTAAAACATCATTATCTTTAAACTGCACATATCTATTTTGGGTTTGGGGTACATTAGAACTCTAGCAGTAAAGTATCGTTCTTACTTTTGTGGTTAGTATGTGTAGCTTACTGACTCATTCTCTTACTGTGAACACTTCAGCTTCCTCATTTGTGAATAAGCATGCCCTTTACCAAAGGGATCTTAAAAAACAAACAAAAAAACAACTCAAATATGGTGAGTGGGTTGTTTTTATATCGACTGTTCAGGTAAAATATGTAATCTACATTTGTCCATTGGTGGTGTAGAAACATTTAAATAGAGATGGAATGAAACAAAGCACCAAGTAAAATCCTCCACATGAAAATCACCTATCATATTAAATAATAAATGTGTATGGTATGATGGCTGGTTATCTGAGACATGAGAAAGAGATAGACACTGGTGTGTCAATAATCAGGTATAACGTTTACTGACCTCCACAGGAAGCAGGTGTACATATAACAAGTATGTGGTAAATGATCTTGCAACCCATTTCGAGGTAATCCAATTTATCTTCAATGTCACACTTTCCTCAACTATCATGCACTTCCTCATTTAACCATCGCACGGCACGCCATTTCCTTTTTGAGAGTGTAACATAAACACTAGCAGCATTAGGAAACATTGATCACTTTTTTTAACGTTCAGTGGCGGCCAGTAAGGGTTATTACTTATACCAATCTGTTTGGAGTTATTTTGGCTTTTACCATTCCTGTGTTTTATATTTGTTAGTGTTGCATCCCTGTGGATTGAGCCTTTCAAATGATTTGGCTTTTCAAATGATTTGGCTGATAACATATCTTCATATATTTAGCCGTGCAGCATTGTCAATTCAATTGTCAAGTATTTTATATCATTGATGTTACCAACAGCTATTCAGAATCTTTATGCGATGGGATGTGTTGAGCACTGCACAATAGCTCCATCTGCTGCACTTATGTATAAGGCATCCGATCACCATGATGGAAACATCTTTTTGAATATGTTTTTCCTCTCAACAGAAGATGGATCAGGGTAAAACATGTATCCCTCTCAGTCATAGGTCATACTGGACACTGTTTACTGGTTGGCCTGCTGCTGTCATTGAAGCCTTTCCATGATCCTCCATTCTGTGTCTCCCACAGGAGAGGCAGAGAAGAGGTGAGGGCCGGGGGCGTCTGATCTCATGGGTCAACCTGAAAACACCTCCCTCTGTGGGCTCCCGGCTGAGGAATCAAAGGTTTAGTTGCTGTTCCAAATACTACTGCACTATAAAACATTCAAAAGTAAGGGATCATCAAGTGTGTGTGTGTGTGGGAAGAAATGGGATTAACTTGGGGCCCGCTGAGTTTACATTATTTTTCTATATTTAATATTAAGGTTATTTTTCTAGCTAATTCCACGTTGCTTTGAAAATGTACATTTGTTTTGTATGTGTGACTGCTTTGGTGGAAGTGCTATCCAATGTCAACAAAATATTTCAGTTTCAATATGAATTTAATTTTGTAGTGTCTCCTCCACTTGAACTTACAGTGGGGAAAAAGGTTAAAATGAATAAAATATGTCCCAACAAATCAGGATTTCAAATACCTATTTGAAAAGAGAGAATTCACTTTTATGCCTTTGGACCTTGTACACTTTTCTTTGCTGGACTGCCTCGTTAGTGATCATCGAGTGTCACTTACTACAGGGGTCAATGTTGAGCAGTTGAGCTCTACCTGTAAATGCCTCCTTTGTTGTGTGCTGCTGCGGATTGAAAACAAATGCATTGAAAGGAGGCATTTTTCTATATGTAATACTAAGTACTGAGAAGGATCTTGGAATACTGATAACACAGAGGGGTGATCTAAGGACACACTGTGAAGTTAGCTACCTGACTCTGAAGAGAAACTCTTCAATTCACCGAGCATCACATCACTGGAAACTGAGAGGAGGCTGATCAAAGAGCAAGCAAGTGAAAGAGAATAATAGGATGTAATGGTGAGACACACTGTAGGGTATATCATGATGATCAGCACAACAGAGAATTATGGAGGAAAATAAAACAGATCGGACATCTTTACAAAGGCTTTGTATGTTTATCCATCAACACATGGCAAGGGGTGAATCAACATACAGCAGCAGAACACAGAAATGAGGGTAAGCATTAACATAATGCAGCCTATAGTTAATACTCTAATAAGCTTCTCATTTATGCATTTCAAGTGTAAACATGTTTTACATATTTCTAACATTTAATTGCATTTGTAATGGAATACTATATTGTAAAACAGGGTTACCTTGGCAGTTGTTTTCCCCAGCCATGTCTTGTGTGGCGCTGCAGAAACTTAGTTGTCCTGGATCAAATGAAAGAATAATCACAAGATTACCGTACTTTAATAACTCAAGATATGGAAACAACACATTGTTATCAAATCATGCGTGTTGTTGACTGAAAGGAAAATCTGTATCAGCCTATAAACCATATGGAAACATTTGATGAAAGTACATAGGGAGCAGTCTTTAAGACAGTGTTATTAAGATTATAGAATTATAGTTTATTATTGCAACATGCTGAAAAAGGGAATGTAAAGACAGGTATTATAAACCTACATGTCGAGATTCAACCAAACACAATTTGTGACAGGATCTATGAAAAACCTAAACACATGCAAAATATAACAAATATAGAAAGTAAATATGTATGCTTGCATGATGAAGCAAGTCAAATTGCTGACTGCAAAAATACCACTTTAATTCAGGTCTTGAATATACACATGATTCACTCGGATACATGTTTGCTGTTGCAGCACACATTCAAAGAATACCTTGTTTATTACTCCATAAATGTAAGCGTTAGACGTTAAGTTACATTAACTGCTAATATGCCTTTTTTAACATTGCATATTGATACTGCAATTTATTTTCAAAGAAACGCAAAAATCAATTGCAGCCCTAAAATAAACCTAAATCAAAAGCATTGCCTTCATCAGTGAGATGATAAAGCATTGTGCATTTTGCTCCATAAGGTTCTGTGTGACCAAGACGAACAGCATGGTTGTAAAGTGATAGCAAAAAGGAAAGAAACATTTTGGGTTTTCTTCATATAAAGCGTAATAAATGTACAGGCATGGTGTATACTTAGATTTATTATGAATACATAAATTAAAAATTAATGTGAGTTTGGCAGATTATACAGGAATGTAGAACAAAACACAGAATATTCACTGAAATAAATATAAGATCGATTCGAGTAATTAAAATATAGAAACAAATATCATACAATAAAAAATAGATATAAAATATAGTTAAAAAATAATATAGACATCAGACAGTTGTAGCAACTCTGACAGGAGCTGGAGGGACAAATGTGGGGAGAGCCATCGATCTCTCAGAGGGAGTCTGAAACAACAAACACACAGGTTATCTACTATTAAGCAACACAGAAGAAGCATTTGTCTGCTTATGCATCTTTTATGAGAACGTTTACCAGGTTTAATCTGTTGTAGTCAGGGGGAGACTTCAGTCCTCCTGTCAGCAGGATATGAGGAGTCGTTTCTGTTTGGGTTGTTATTGCCTGCGAGAGAAAAGAAAGACATTGAAACAACCGGCCGAGAGACAGGAGCAGTATTCATTGTATCATTAGCCCTTCATGATTCAAGATGAAACAGATTCTTCTATCACATAATGATAGCATTATAAGGGTATTGGGTGAGGAGCTCACAAACACAGAGCCATTAGAGAATTACAATAAATGACGTGGGATAAAACCAATAGGATCAAAAACAAAAACATGATAGCAAGAATACACCCCAAGTTGTTCAGACAAAGAACTCCACACCCTGTAACAAGACCACAACTTAAATATATGACATACCATATATTATGCATGATAAGGAGTGTATGGCATTTATATACATAACTTAATGTGCCCTTTTTTATTATGTTTTAGTAAAATTATTCTAACCTTCTCAACTGCTCTGGACACTGGATATCTTGTCTGCCGACCTACAAAACAGAGGGAAGAAGGTCCAAATGTGATATTTCACCCGGTTTAAAAATGGATCGGTATTTTTTGCAAAGCCATCACCTACTTTTGTTCTTGTTTGAGTGGAAACAGAAGTAAATGGCGATGCCCAGCAGGATGATGAAGAGCAGACTGCAGGGGATTCCAGCTGCGATGCCCGCGATGGCAGCTCTACTCAGCCCTTCCCCTAGTATCACCATCACAACAAGTAGGGAATAAAGGGGACTACTGTAGAAAGAAAAGATGATTTCATTAAAACACACTAACTGATAATGAGCCATACCTGGACCAATTCTCTGGACCTTAGACGGCTCTCCTTCCGTCATAAGAGCTTTAGGGATGACTCGAAATCTGTACGTCAAGCTGGGATCGAGGAAAAAGACGTCCACACTCCTGACAGAGCCAGGTTTCTGCTGGATGGTTTGAAAAACATCTGCACTGCCTCTCTTCTGGGTGCCGGTACGACTTTTGTTCGGAAGGGATGGTCCTTTCATTTGGATGTCAAAGCCTATGTACAAAGCACATGCAATTATGTTTTGTTTGATACTAGTATAAAGTTGACTCATCACAAAAGTGGTACCACATTTTTTAATGAGGAAAACTAAGGTGTTATTTGATGTACATATATAGATTGATAGACAGACAGTTTATTGATCCCAATTTGGGAAATGTTTGCGCTGCAGCAGCATAAAACATACACAAGGCAATGTACATAAGAGAAATTAAGACAAGAAATAAAACAGTCCAAAATATTTCAGAAATAGAAATAAAAAAGCATTAAAAAATAAACTAGCAGAGATGGAGACAAAACAAATTCTGACATTTGCTATTTGCAGCACTTTGTTCCTTTAATTATTTGTTCCCAAAACACCACGGCTTCACACATTACACAATATTTACACCCCTATGCTCTATGTCGACTGTCTGTTTTCAACTGTGTGGAGTTCTGCTGAGATGTACACATTCAAAACAGGAAGGTTGGGTTTGTGTGTGTGCTGTTCAAAGATTTTCTTGTGAGAAAAAAATGAATCTGGAGAATCACTGCTTTACCTGTAACGACAGAGGTAGGCGGGACCTCCCAGGTCAACGTGACGATGGTGCCGTTGAGATTACCGAACAAACTGAAATCTGAGATGGATGGTCCTGGAAAGAGAGGGATTATGAGCAAGGGGGCGATCAAGAGAGGGCACGAGAGAGAGAGGGGGATAACAAGACTAGAGGGCTTTGTTCGACAGGGAAAGAGCAATCTCAGGTATTCCTTAGCTCTGAGGGCCCGTTGTTTCTTTTTACTTTTGTAATGCAAGTGTTTCATATCAGAAGCTGAAGGCAACAGAATACTTACAGTATTTTTTAAATAATAAAGTGTGTGGCAGAAGACCGGACTATCAATATAACATTGTCAAACATGTTGTTACCAATGTTTAGTATTGGACATCAAAAAAATAAATAAAAATAAAACCTTCATATCAAAATTAAGTGTTTTCCTATTTTATTTTTAATTAACAATTAGTAAATTGTTAGTCTGCCGATTGTTTCCCTGTTTTAACAATTCAAAGTTTGGTCTGCAACATGCCAAGAGGTGCCCAAAATGCATCTTAAGAGTCCTAAAGCCCAAGGTGACACATTTAAATGTTTGGCAGTCAAACGTATATAGATTTATATCACAGGAGTTACTTAAGAAATTAATTTTCTTATAATCTGAATTGTTACCGATTCATTTTACATTTATCAGGAAGATGATTGATTAACATTTTCATTCCTTTTCTGTATTCATCTATCTATCTATTAATTCTCCTTCAGAGTGTCAAATTACATATTCACTTATTAGCAGCATTTCAATGTTTTAGTTATTCAATTTAGGGCTACATTTTCGTATTTATATATTGACATATATTTAATATGTCTTTATATATTCATGTTTAACCTTCTAAAAATGCCACCTAAAATTATTTTTAATGTTTTACTTATAAAATAGTCAAATTAAATGAAGCAAAAATACAAGAACCTGAAAACTGCATGTCCTGCAGTACTTCAGTATCTGGAGTTTTACCACAGCTTCATTTGACAGCAGCCACACTGCACCTTGTAAGTGAACTTCCCTCCTCTGGCTGCCCAGTGGGTTGCTGCAGGTGCAGGTGTAGTTCTGGAGGATGAAGTTGCTGACATTGTAATCCCGAATCTGGAGCTGTGTGGCATTGCTGCTGATCTGGTATGTTGTTCCCGCGGCGACGGTCTCGCTGCCTTGGGACCAGGACACCACAGCTTCAGGCGAGGCCTCACTCACACACTCGATGGTGACCACTATTTTGCCGTCAGAGGAAACTCTAGTCCTCACAAAAGGCAGGAACTTTATTGGACTACCTGGGGAAGAAAATAATGTTGTTCTGGGCTGCCTACTACCTTCTCTAATGAACACACAAAGTGTCATTTTTGTAAGAACCAAATACTGGCTTCTTTATCTGAAAACGTAAGACTTACTTGCAGTCACGCTGCACTGATTCTGTTCCACTGGGTGGTCTGCCATGCACGTGACAGTTTTCCCATTGAGGTTATCTGAGGCGTTGAAGGTCAGGCTGAAGGTCTCCGCTCCGCTGCTGGTGTTGCTCAGTGTTGGGAAAGAAAGCACGGCCTGTGGGGTTCCCCCCGGCCACATACAGTAGTACTGCAGATTGACGTTATTTACCGACTGCGCCGAGCACATCGGGTTGCCTGACGGTCTCTCTGTCCAAAGGAAAAGAATGTATCAGACATTATTCAAATGAACCAGGCATTCAGTCAAATGTGGGTGTTATTCAGACAAGCATGCGGAGTCAGAGCCATGTATTTGCAGGAACTTTAAGTTGTCCTAATTATTGTAATTTCAGCCATCTTCTTTTACAGTAGGTGCAAAGATAGACTGCAATCTCATAGCTCTACTAAAGATATTAAAACACTATCCTTGAAGTATATAATGTAGCGATATGTAAATTCAAAACAGAAAGTTCTGTTATTTTCAGAAATGTTGATACAAGTTGAAACAGTCCTTTCAAATGCTCACCAAAAAAGGTAAAATTATGCTTTAGACTTACCATAAACTTTTAAAAGGATGTTCATTTGAAGCTTTTCTTTAGACTGCTCAGTGACCAGCGTGCATGTATAAGTGCCTGTTTGATTGGTCTGCACATTTGTTAGATTTAAGACTCCGTTGAGTTGATCAGGAATCTGACTACCGAAGTCCCACTTGGCAGTCGGCAGTGGGAACCCTTCAGCTTTGCAGGAAACGCTCAGCGTATCTCCTGATAAATAGAAAGGCTGAGCTGGAAGAGCCTCCAGTATTGGTTTTTCTGGTCCATCTATAAACAGATCACATATAAAAAGAGGAGTCTCATGAGAAGGAGGGGATACTATCAAGGGACAGATCTATAAAGACATTTTATTAATCTTACACAGCACAGTGACGTTTATGTGAGTTGTCACAGTGCTGAAGGGGTTCTTCAGGAACACCGTGTACCGTCCTGTGTCTTTTCGGTTTGGCCCGTGGATCACAAGGCTCCTCTCCTGCACTGTGTACTGCGAGTTGGAATTTATTTCTATATCATTGAATAACCACATCTGTTGCTGGACCACTCCCTGCAGCATGCTGTACTGAAGGGAGAACGGTTTAGGTCCCTCTATGGCAAATTCAGGCTGTGTCAGAATCACATTCTGGATTCTTTCTGTAAAAGAAAAAGGATTTAGAAGAACAGTTGGGTGAAGTAATTAGAGCAGGTCACTGTGGTTGTACCCGTTTGACTTTAAAATGCACCAAAAGTACAAAGCACATTTCATTTAGATGGAAAAACTAGACTGAATTGTAAAGATAATAAATAGTGAAACTTTCTGAATGCCTGAAAGACTCCCAAAGTGCATTTTTGTTTTCCTTTAACACATAACACGGTTCATTACACAACCACCATCAGCAGCCCTGGAACTGGGAGGAATTCAGAGAAATTGCTTTAGCATTATCCAGAAGTAGCCGATTGAACCTGGATTTCCACCATCCTGCTGCCCATAAATATAGCAGTTAAGTTCAAAATAAAGGTTTAGTTAGGAAATGGGTGTGGTCCGAGCGAGGACTCTTCTAATTTAGGGCCCTAGCCTACATTAGCGGCCACTTTAGCTGGTTTGATCCCATCAAAAGATGGTCTATAAAGAAAAAGTGTCAGACTGTAGAACATTCAGGTTAATAAAGGTTTAAGCAGACATTAAATGCAAACCCTAACGGTACACAATCATGTTTCTCACCAAATACTTCCAAAGTGAAAGAAGTCACGGATTTGGCCAGTCCAGATTTTGTCATTTCAAACGTGTAGTTACTGGTATATCCAAGTGTCACATTGACAAAGGTAAGGGATCCCTTTGGCTCAATGTTCAGCACCTTCTTTCTGTCTTCGTCTATGTCTGGGGGGACATCAGAGCCAATAGTCCATGTGACGACAGGTAAGTCTCCCATGAGCCAGGTAACAGTTGGGTCATCGGCCCCGGTGAAGGACACAGCCAGAGTCACATCGCTGCCAGCTAAAGCATTCACCAGAGTATGACCGACAGGAGAGACCACCAGCTGACTGGAAGCAACTGTATAATCAGTTAGAAGGAGGAAATATTATAAATATGTATCTCTTCGTTCTCCAAATCCATGTTACAGTAGGCCTACATGCTATAAATACTGGAAAGTGAATATGGTCTGTTCCTACTAAAGTAAGCACACATATCATGTGAAACCTTAACAAAATGAGCAACATGAGAACAATTTAAAGCTAATTTCCTGTGTGGCTCCTAATGACAACCTTATAGTCTAGGTAGGAACAAGCAGAGCAAACATGCTATTTCAATCCAGGAATTTTGTTTTAGGCTTACCTTGAAAAGAAAAGCTAAAAATGGCCAGAAAAACTGCGCATAATCTCCCAAATCCACCAAGCCACGCCATTTCAGTGAAACAGGACGACAGCCGAATTCGTTTTTCTGTTTTGAGTTGATTTAAAGGGTATATTTTGGCACATGAAAAGCAAATAAATGCCCTTGGTGTCTTGGACAACGAGACTGAACAGTGTGTGGTCTGCTGTAGCAGGGCGCGTGAGTGGCTCACCTGTGCTGAATCAAAGCCTTGATTGTGCACGTGAGGCCACGCCCCTAGTCTAATTTAACATCATAGTTCCGACTTTAATTCTGTTTAGCTATAAGCCATTATTACACTAATATAACGTGAGACATGAAGAGACTGATGATTTATTGTTTCAGTTTGAGTATAATATGTAAACAGGTAAGGTCTTCATGGTGGTACCTTTACCACAGCAGTCAATTTGAAAGTAGCCTAGTGTGAGAAAGTAAACACGTTAAGCCTGTTTAGTGTCCAGCATTGCATATGTTCGATTTTACACTAAACACGCACCTTATTTCTCCTCTGTGTACAAAGGTCCGTTTTTAATCAACAGTCCATGTTTTGTGTTGTGTTTAATATTATATAAGAGTGTTCCTAAATGCAAGATGGCTAGCTGCAATACAACCTTGACATTTAAAATGAAATGGTCTACTTAGTCCTGCTTCCTTTCACATTTAAAAATAAATATATATTATTATTATTTCAAAATAGTCCCACTGTTTTAATTTCATGTCACTTTTACCAAAAGCCATTAAATATAAAAATGTAAAAAAGAACAACAGGTTGTTGCTTTGGTCTGAATGAGAAATTAGACGATCAATTGTTTAACACAAGAATCAAATAATTGAAATTAAAATGACCTGAAATAATTGCTTTATTAAATTGTTGGAGCAGTTTTCTGAAAGCGATTTAACTTTTTGTTCAGTCTGCTGTTTGTGCTGCTGGTGTTTTTAACTATTAGCAGGCTATAAAAAGCCCTCAATATGGCACAGTATGATTCAACAGCAACATTATCATACCTTTATGAAAGTAGGATTTACTGCAGGATTTTGTTTAAGACTGAAACAATATGTGTACCAAAAGGATAACTAAGTATTGCTGCATGAGTGAACATAACATGCTGCAGAAATCGTTTTCCGGACAAATGATATTTATTTACCATGTTATAGAACAAGAACACCGTCTAAAAATGAATACACTAAATCCTCCTTTCTCACCACTCCAACATAAATGGTTCTTTCTTCACAATGTTACCTCGATTTAATCTCTTATACCTGTATACACGTCAAATTCAAACCAACAAAAGTGCATCAAAAGAACAGTCACAGGTGTTTAGATATGAAAAAGACTGCTGCTTTATTGTCATAGTAATGTTCTGTACAATCAACAGATTATTGAGGCGCTTATGGTTCAATTCAGATTCATGACCATCTTCCTTTGCTTATACTGAGACACACAGTCTTAATCCTGAAACCCTGCTACAAATCACACAAGCTTTACAAATCACCAGCAGGCATGACGCTAATCTTGAAAGGAATAATCATCTTGACATGTGGGTCCATATTTACAAATATCATTTACAGAAACTGCACCTCGTAACATGCGTGACTACAGATTCACAAGATTAAACAGCAGAGTCAAGCAACTGTTGATGAAATGTATTGCTCCGGCAGTGTAATAAAACAGCAGCATGAATTATACCAATAGACATTTCTGTGGTTCAATTATTGCATATAGACAGCTTGTCTTAAATCAGATTCTGAGCCTGTGATACAGATGAGTTTAGACGTTAAAATGCACATAAAGGACAAGATGATTCTTGTGTGGTGGTCTGGGTGGGCTGCAGATAGTGTTTCTCAGTACTCCTCTCCCGTCAGTACCTCCCTGCATATATCAGGAGTCACAATCTCAAACAGAGGGATTAGACAGATGCATAAACTGCTCCTCCGGTCGTGCCTGTGCAATTCAGTCCAGTTATTCATTCAGAGTCCTGCAAGGAGAGAAGACAATGCAGAGAGATAGTTGTAATTCAAGACAAGAGTTGCAATTAAAATCTTTTATTATTAGCTTAGCTTCCGCTTCCACAGTACACAATATAGTCTTTGCCAGAGAATTTAATTAGGTTTTCAAGCTGAAGAGATGGTGATATAAAAAGGATGTAACAATAATATTCCAAGCAGATAATTGTATCTTTCCAAACCAGAGGTAACTTTACAGCATATGCACACACAAGCTGAACATGTATTAAGTAAGTCATAATAAAGAGGAAGATATAGATTTATTAAGAATAATGATTTGTGCCCACTCAATTGATATAAATATTACAAACTCTTAATGTTACGATATATAGGAAGGATTCTGTCCAAAATGATCGAATCTTTGTTTTTTTGCCATAGCTAAAAAACTAAGAGCATGGTTAGAGCCATCTGATATCCCTTGCTGACATAAGAGCTGTGAGAAATAGTTGATTCATTGTTTAGTTGATTAAGGGGAAATTAATCTGCACATTTTTCAATAATCCAAGCTTCTACATTGGCTTGGAGATTGAAACATCTCTTTATTGGCAGCATCAGGTAAAGGCATCAAATGCACTCCATACACTTTTTTAATGATCTATTAATCATGGAAGGCATTTTCTAAGCTATTGTGAATAGTTTGTTACTGAACCTTGAGATCCTTGCTGAAGATGTGTGTTGATGGGTTTAGTAAATTATAATATCTAGTTGTTATGTCAGGCTCTACACTGGTAGATTCAGGGAAACTCACCCTTCTGCCAAGTTGTTCTCCCTGCTTATGCTCCCAAAGCCTCTATATCCTCCCTGCCTCCTTCAGTCTGGCCATCAGGTCGTCCACCGTCTCCACCTTCACCCCCGCCTCTCTTTGGGCAGGCTCGTCCACCCTCAACACCTCCAACCGTGACGTGATGTCCACCCCTAAGTCAGCAGGCTTCACGTTGGCTATCTTCTTCTTCTTGGCTTTCTGAAAGTAGGGAAACACAGGAGTGGGATAAAGAACAGATTCTGTACTATTTGTTTTTTAAAAAGTACCTGTCAATCAAACTATGATGAATTTTGAATGCTGAATAGAGTGGAGCCCTAAACTGAGCTCCAGGTATTTTATAGTTTCTGAATAAAATACTACGGTCATTCCTAAAAACAAGAATATTTCTGGCTTTGTTTCTGCCTCCTGCATTTCTGAACATATTTTCCGGCTACCTACCATGATATTGGGCAGGGTGGCATATCTGGGAGTGTTGAGTCGAAGGTCTGCAGTAATCACTGCTGGTGTGTTGATCTTAACAGTTTCCAGGCCACCATCAATTTCTCTCACTACTTTAATCTTGTCTCCTTCCATTGACAATTCTGATGCAAAAGTACCCTGTAATTATAAGGTAAAGCACAAATACATAACATTAAATACAAACAAATTAATTATTGCCAAAACAGGAACATGATCATTTCTGACCATGCTTTGGAAAGAGCGAAAAAAAATAGTGTAAGAGAGCCGCACTTGGATTGTAACTAATCCTGGGGATATGTGTCTTAAGAATGAACCAATTTACTATAAAATGTCAGGTGATTAGTAACAATTGTAATAATATGCGACATAAAAATCAAAATATAGGTAACTTTGGGGATTAGCTTGTTAAAATTAGATTACGACTATCTACCTATTGAGGCCTCACACAAAAAGCTTACACTGAGAGATAATGTATCAACAAAGAGCTCCATCTATTGGTCAGCCAGTGGAAATTGCCCTCCACTGTCCAAACAGCCTTTGACCTGCTGATCTGTGCAGGATCACTGTAGCTCTTTCCGACTCAAACTAGTCTCCGCTTACTTCGATAAGGCAGTCTGTACAGGGGCATAGCCTGACGTCACCACTACTGCATTATAATAAATATTAACTGTGTTGATCTAATTTAGAGCAATCCCAAGTAACAGGCTGTTCTTAAGTTAAAACTCACCTGAGGCCAGTCCAGTAAGGCTGCTGTCATCTGACCAGTCTGATTGCAGTCATCATCGATGGCCTACAGGAGCAACACAAGTCATTTCATCACAACAAAATTGGTGTGTAGATCGTTTCATCCCCGTATGAGAGCAGGAAGTGTTTTTTTTTTAATAACCTGTTTGCCGAGGATGACGAGTAGAGCTTCCTCCTTCTTGGCCAGAGCAGCCATGATCTTAGAGACCTGCAGGGGTCCCAAATTCTCATAGTCTTTGCCAGTCACTTCCACGTGAATGCCACGGTCTGCTCCCATGGCAAGGGCAGTACGGATGGTCTCCTAAGAGAGGGGGGAAAGAAAAGAAAGAACTGGTTTGAATAGAGTTGAAATATTTAGGTTGTGCTGCTCCCCAATTTAAAAAGTTACCAGACCCACAATCACAATTACTTAAACACAATATGGTACTGTAGGTCCTCACATGTCTATAACATGTATCTAATAAATGCAACATTTTTTTTTTTTTAAATATCAGTAGGTAATTACAGTATGACTAACTTAACATTGTGGACTATAAATCCTGTATATATATATTGGTGATTTAAACTATTCTCAGTTTATATACTGTACATGAAATCATTTTTCTGTATTACAAAAAGTATAATATAAGCAAATATAGGACTGCATTTTGGTTTGGTGATATTTACAAATTATTTACAATAATTGTGATGAGCCTATTTTTCTAAAGATAACTGAAACATAAGGAAATTAAACATTTGAATAAGCTTTTAAATAAATCAAACTGCCTAATTATGCTAAATGTATGATGATTTAAAAAGTAGTACCATCTAATTATTTATCGTTTATTCGTACTTGTGAAATGATATCCATTCTACAGCATGATTCGGCTAAACCATTATGAAAGATAGAGCTGAAGTCCAGCAAAAGAAAAAGATTAAACAGTTGAACTACTATACAGAACTCCTCTAAAGTAGTTCCATCTCACCCACCATTACTTGCTGTGGCCCGCAGCTGACCACCACAACCTCCTTAATAAGCTTCTTCTCCTTCATCTTGACCGCCTCCTCAACAGCGATCTCACAGAAGGGGTTCATTGAGTGTTTAACTCCATCCGTCACCACGCAACTGTTGTCGGGCTTCACACGAATCTGAGTGGGGAACAAGACCGCAGGACAGAGTCACTACAGGGGTGCTAGAAGACAAACAATCCAGATAACCTGGATTCAGGGGCAAACTGTCAGACACAAAGACAGAGACTCACACAGGAAGAAAGCACAATGTCTAAAGTTTAAACAGGCAAGACATGGTAAATGAAAGAGAATACATTTGCCTGAGGGTATTAAACATAGAATCTGGATAAAGGTCTGCTGTTTCATTAGTAGGACAGAAGTATATGGACATCCAAACAAAGTATGTGAATGTTCATTTGCAGCTAGAACAGGAATCTGCCTGAAGGGTCTTAATCCTATTCTGTGATAATAGCAATAGAGAGGTCTGGCGATAAGGCTTAGCTAACAGCTCACGTTTCACCTGATACCGAAGGCATTTGATCTGGTTAAGGTCAGGCCTTTGTGCCGGGCCATATAACTTCTTCCACCTCTAACTGGAAGGGGAAAAAAGTGTGGACCACCTGACAGTGCATGCTGTTTGTATGTTCTGTGTCTATTGGCATTGGGCTTCAGCTTTAAGATGTCCCAGAAACCGATTCAAGGGACCTGGCCAAAATCACTGAAAAACAGCCACTGACCATAGAAGAACACAGAAATATGTGTATGGCCATATAACAAACCTGTATCATTTAACTTTATGTTATAAACATATGCAGAATAACAGTAACAAATAAATGTATTTGAGCTAAATTGACCTAGTCAAGTATTTGAAAAAAAAACTTTTAAGAGAAGCAACTTTCCTAACTCAATGTATTTTAATCATCTGACTGATAACCAGAGAGCAGAGGGGAGAGAAGTGAGTATTGAACACTGACAGTGCACATGTGCGTGAAACAGCTGCAAACACATTTTTATGATGTGCTCAATCTGAGTGCCAGTATCTTTGCTGAAAATGTGAAATGATATTGACCTTACAATGATTATGTGACTTCAACATTGTCTTGCAGACTTAAGACGGGGGGAAGCTGATCTAAGAAGGACATGCCAATTGTTAAGACTAAAATTAGGTAACATCATTTTTAAATGATTTGCTTTACAGCTGCTCAGTTAACCTACAAAACCTCATGTTTTGCAACAATGGTGACAATAATCTAGCTGCAAATAACTCCTCTCTGGCATCAACCAAAAGTCACTCCAACTGCTGCAAACTTCTTACTTTCTTTGGTTTTTAGTTGAGAAAAGTACAACATAACACTACCCTTATTTAATGTACAGGTTTTATTTAACTCTATCCATTGTACTATTTTATCTTTTATCATGATTTTTCTTCTCTTCACAATGCCTTTTCGTCGTCTGTCTCCATGTGTTATTTAACCTTTATTTGTCTCACTTAGTTTGGCTTTGTGTTGTGAAATGGACTTGTATCCGGCATTTGCTTTGCTAAATCTCCTTTTAACTGTGCTTTATAAAAAAAGGTATTATTATGTTGTTATTATGCAGGTTATCTGTCAAGAAAGTCAATAGTTATGTTACTTAAGCTGTGATAATGTGCCACAGCCAGCTGGTATCAGGAGGCTAACGTTAGCTACACAGAAAGTCAACTGACTGAGTACAGAAAAAGAGTCTTTCAAACGTTAATACGCCCGTCGAGACATCAAAACGATATTACCTTAACGGCGTAGTCAATGACTCGCTTAACTCCAACGAGGACACGTCCAGACATTATTGCTGAAACGTTTATCAATGCAGAAGTAGACAGCTAAAGAAACAGTGTCACCGCAGTGAACCTTCACCCAAGGAGTAGAGGTCGGACATATTTTAGTGTGACACCAGAGTGGAACGCCTCCCGTTCCAGCCAACAGGAAACGGACAAGAGTAACCAATCTCTACGCGGATTCGCTAAAAAGTCGCTTAAAGCCGTTGTTAAATTAAACAATAAGTCACCAAGTACATATGTGGTTTCTGTCAAATAAATTGAATTTAGGATGTTTGGAGAAAGTCTTAAATCCACATTAATTCCCATGATCTACTATCGTTATTGTTTCCATTGCTGAAACTGTGGGACAAATCCATAGACAAATCACAGGTGCATGGTGTGGTGCTCCTCATATATTTGTCGTAAATAGGAGCCAAAGAAGAAACGTTCCGCATAATGTGTGGCAAAGTTCACCGAGGTAGAGTGATGTAACGAGGGTTAAGCGATGTTTCATCTATTTATTCATCGATTGTGTTGGGGGTCTGAATGAAATTTGAGACACAGACAAAAAAACTATCAAATACAGTTATTCTGATAGGGAAAACATTAATATCCAAAGCCTAATCAATAGCTAATCTTGATATAAGTTTTTTAATATTCCTAAAATTAAAGAAAGATATGTATTGTGCCTACAAACAAAACTCGAAAAGCCCTTGTTCCATTGATATATATATATATTTTTTTTAATCTTTATTTTAATTTAATGCTCGATTTTGAGCCAGACAATTAGCCACCTTTTTATTACTATAAAACCTATCATGCATAATGAGCTTATTGATGTCTTTTATACATAAATATGTGTCCCCTGTGTGTCAGGGAACCCACAAAGTGTCAGAAAACAAAACCCTCTCTCTTTTCCTCCGTACCCAAATCTCTAAAAACTGGGGTAGCCTACAACGGAGCTGATCCAGATTTGCGTCCGATATGACGTAGGCCTAATATCGGAAAAGTGGACCCACGGCACTCTCAGAAACGTTGCCATCAGAAACAATGCCCGACTGTTTTGGACGTAATATGGTCTTTGTTTACATTAGCAAGCATCGCTAACACTCAGAGCTAACCTGTACTGAAGAGAGTGGGTGTTTCTCAATAGAGAACCGCAGTGACGCGTCAAAACCTGGTCAAAACCCGGAAGTAAGTTAGCATTTTTACCACGTCCGGTTCCTTCGATAAAAAGCAATGCAATTTCTCCGTAGGATTTTGGAAAATAGCTCCAAATAAGGTCTGTGTTTGACACAAATTGAAGAGACGTTTTGTTCTACGACATTAAATACTCAGCAGTGATTTTTGAAGAGTTTACGTGTCTGAAAAACGATGGTTGTTAACATTTGGCTGAATAGGACTACAGAAGTTGTCCAGGCCGTTTGTCCTTACACCGAACACATAAAACACTCCCGCTAATTTTGTTTGCCCTGTTCTGCTTGAAAGCAAGTGCCTGCCTCCTGCAAACTGTTCAAACAAACGCTTCAACTTGTACCATTTAGAATCTGTATGTTTGAATATGGATCTTAAGTTGGCGTGACGTTGAAGCAGCGACCCTGCTGTAGTTCGTTTATAGCATAACGTTAGCATTTTGCTTCTGGCGACTAGATTTATGATTCGAAAATTATAGAAGTAGGGTAGACATGTGGTTTATTATCCGGCTGAACAAAACGTGATCCGTCTCTTCAATGTGGCCGTTTCTCAATCGCGAGGAAACTGGCTTCCAAGCCAATATTTCAAGGATACTACGTCATCGAGTGCCGCCGAAGGACTGTTCCAATCTCCAGCATACTTGGAATTCCACCGAGGCTGCGTCCTTGGTTTGGGGGTAATTTTGAGGCTGCACATGGGTAGACTTCGCGTCCTTCAAATCCCCACAATGCTTTGCGCACGGACCAATTTCCCCAAATCTGTGGCGGAAAATGTAAGGCGGGGCCTCTCATATGACGCACACCTGCACACTTGTTAGCCTGTTCCACTCTTCGTTTTCCGAATGCCAGGAAGGATTCTTGCCTAGCTTCTGAAGGAAGTGACTCGGAAGACAGGTGCTACCAAGCAAGCATCCTCGCGATTGAGAAACGGCCTGTGTGTCAACCACAGACCTTATTTTGAGCTATTTTCCAAAATCCTATGGAGAAATTGCATTGCGTTTTTGACGAAGGAACCGGAAGAGGTTTACTTCCGGGTTTTAGGACGCGTCACTGTGGTTCTCTATGTCGAGTAAAGCTGCTCCAGAGCCACTATTTCAAGCATACTACGTAATCGTGTGATTTTGGTTTCATGTTACTGTATGTATTTGTAAGCAGCTGTGACTGAAAGACCATCTATTTTTATTTGCATTTTTTCTTTTTTTAAATAAAGGACGGGTTGAAAAAAAATCTGCGTAAAGTCTACATGTTTTGTTTTGTAATAATCGCCATGAGTGGAATACATTAATGAATACTTAAATAAAGTACAGTACTCGAGTATATAGGCTATTTAGTTACTTTCCACCACTGACAGTGTGCAGAAACGGTTTTGTTAACAGCTGCTGCGCTAGAGTCAGCTCGGGTCACCCAGCGGCAGCAGCAGCAGTGGCCTCCATTTTACCTCCGACACCGAGCCGTACCTCACGTGTCCTGGGCTTCTCTCTCACATGACCCGAGTGTTTGTTCCCGTGATCAGCACTTCCATCTCCATCTGTGACACCGAATATCACTTTTTATTCTAACCCTGATGGATATGCTTGAACAGAGTCTGGACAGCGCAAGGTAACCAAGAGTCGGCCAAAATGGCTAACTGGGACAAGCTAGCTACAACATGCTATTTCGGATAGCTAGTTTACGACGCTTACCAAGGCCTGAACTAAAAAGAAAACTGTTGTCAAATTCAATAAAATCTGAGAAAGGCGGTTAAGTTAGAAAGAGAAGTGAAAAACGTTGCCATCTGCATAGCTGACAAGTTGTATCATAAAGACCAATGTAAAAAAAAAAAGATCATGGTTAACTTAGCATACAACGGTGCAATAGCTATGTTAGCTTAAGCTAAGTATTTAAACATAAACAAATGAGCAACTGTAGGTCAACTGAAGACAGTAGAAATGTTGTGTTTTACATTGTGATTTTGCTGTTGGTTGTTTGGCGTCTTGCACAAGTTTGCCATCAGCTAAGGCAAAGTTGAGGGTCAGTAATTATATTTATATATTTTTGCAGGATAAACACATCGTTAGCTTGTCACGTTAAAACTCAGTGTTTTTGTTTATGTGGTTTGCAGCCAAGAAAAACAAGAAGAAGAGGTTGTCCAGACTTCTGAAGGTAAGAACCTATTTACTAAACTATCATTCACAACATCTGGCACCTGCTGGGCTGTGAGACTTAATAATGGATTGTTTTTAACTTGTTTTATCTGATTAAAATAAAGGTGTGTAGCATGCATGTAAGTTGCAGCATGCTTTGGTATATGTATTGTTTTGTGCAGTTTATCTCAGGGTTTGTTAGCTGTCTTTATTCGTTTTCCTCCTCTTCTGTTCTAACTGTCTTTTTCTGTCCTCTTTCACCCTTGAGACGGAACAGGAGAAGAGCACACAGCTGTTACTATAGCCAGCGTTCAGCAGGCTGCAGCATTTGGTGACCACAACATACAATATCAGTTCCGCACAGAGGGTGGACAGGTAAGCAAATAATGGAGGCTATTATGTCAGTGATTGTTTTTTCCTCCTCCCATTGTCAGAAAGACCAAGATAGTCCGTCTTCTCCAGTATGACCCACATGAGGGTGTTGCACTTTTTATTTGTACATGTGATGTTTCGGTGTTGTTGTTTTTTGTTTTGTTTCTTTCTGTTAACTGGCAAGTGGGAACTAAGTATTTTTTGTTGTTATGTTGTAAGTTTTTCATGTTTCTCTTATTATCCTATGATACTGTGTGAATAACAAAATGTGAAGGACAGACCATCTATTTCCATTTATAGGGCAGGTAACATTTAAGGGGCAGGTAACATAAGATGAGTTTATTCTCCCTGCTCCTTTTCGGTCAATGGTGTGTTAATAGAGACATGTTTTGTAAACAATTATTATACATTAAGTTGTGCATACCATGAACGGAACAAATACAAATGAAATGAATGCAGTAGTGGAATGTAGGAGTGGCAAATTGCAATACTGCAATGTAAACATATTCTGTTACAAGTAAAAGTCCTGAAAGATAAGGCTCAAAAGTCTAGGCAATCAAAATAAATACCAAAAGTAAAAATATTACTTGTGCAGAATAGCCCATTTGGGAATTATGAATGTTATATGACTGGAGTATTATTAGTGATGCAATAATATGTTAAGAGGGTTAGGAGATATGGAGAAAAGCAATATAAAAATATGTTTTTACCAAATACCTCAATCAATATTGTGACCATATTCAACAGTACACTTTTTGTGCATCTACTAAATGTTAACGGCATTTTTGGAAAGATAATCATCAGTAATGTGGACTGGACATAATGACTAAGTGGGTAAAGGCAAATGATAGAACAGTACACCGACTTAACTGGAATGCAGAGTTTTAATCACAGGAAAAGACAACACTCAAGCCCTATTATGTATTTTGATTTCAAAAAGATGACATTAAGTCTCATTACAAGATTCATACAATATTGATATATTGCCCATCCCTATGAATAACACACGGGAGGCGTGTGGCGCAGTGGATGGAGCCTTAGTGTTGAGATCAGGGGTTCAAAGGTTCAAACCCCACTGTAGTCAGCATGTCGTTGTGTCCCTGAGACACTTCACCCCAAAGTGCTCCTGTGGGGATTGTCCACAGTATTGAGTATGTAAGTGGCTTTGGATAAAAGCGTCTAACATGTAATGTAATAACAATCACTGATGTTGCAACTGGTAATATTAACCTAATGCTAACTACTTTATAAACTGCAGGGTAGCTTTACCTATAAAAAAACATATGGAAATGTATATGTTGATTTATATTTTGGGTTAATAATATAAATACGTCTAGTAACTAGTAAGTAATGTTTAGTAGAATTACACGTAAATTGAAAGTATACATGTAAGTAAGTACCTCAACATTATTCCCCCCACTTTTTGATATTTAGATTTGTCACAATAAGTGTTGTGTTGTTAGCGTAGCCGCCTCACTGTGAGAATAACCTGGGTTTCTCTCACGAGTAGTCTTTCCTTTGTAAGGTTGCATGTTCTTGTTATGTGATCGTGTGTCCCTTTTGGAAACACAAGTCAGGATAACAGGCGCTAAATGGCTTGAACTAATGAATGTGTGGTTTTCTTCCCTAGTCCCATGATTGACCGGTGACCTTTGTCAAGAGCGTCTCATTTTCGTCCACTAGTGTGGCACGCATCGCAGCAGTGGTCTCGGATTGACTGTGGCATAGTTAAAAGAGCGGATAAATACGTTCGGAAAAACCAAATGTGTGATTTCCAAGTTGGTTTATTGTGATGATTAACACTGGAGGGAATAAAGTCAGCGATCCATGTGGCTCATTTTTCGTAAACAAGGCTAGTGTGAGAGATCATGTGATTCCAGTCTGGTCAGAGATTGGCATGGGGCCGCTGTCACATGTCAGTCAGGAGGAGAGTCAGCTGATATAAGGATTCAAATACGGATTCCTGGGACAAACAAGCTCATTTTCTGACTTGTTTTCAAAATTGAATCAGGCACATTCTGATGCATAAGCAAATTGAGAGGGAAAGCAATATGCTTATGTTTCAGAATGTGCCTGAAGTAAGATCAATGCACAGCTGCGATTTGGACCACTGTGTCTAATACTAGGCTCCGGGGAACTGTAGCATTAGATATGCTAAACAAATCTACAAATCAGGTGAGGTATTGATTCAGGCACAGTGCGCGTGTCAAAGGGAGGGTGGGAAATGGACTTTGTATAGTTTGTCCTTCTCTAATTTTCAAGTCTGACACGTGTTTCTCTCTCTACTCTTGCAGGTGACGTACCGCGTTGTTCAGGTGACTGACCAGCACCTCGATGGGAGAGATGATGGGGGGGGAGCAGTGAGTGTCGTCTCCACAGCCGCCTTTGCTGGGTCTCCCCAGGCTGTGGCTCAGGTACAAAAATCTTTGTTTTCTTTTCTTTCTTTTTTATCGAAGAAAACCCGCTGGTAATACGGACTATTTTGAAAGATTAACTGCATGCTTTGAAGTAATTCCATAGTCCTTAGAGATAAGGCTGGTAATAATTCAGCTTTTAGTATTCCAACAGTCTGCCTAAGGAAATGAAAACCAACAATGAATTCATCCTGCTAACAAACACTGTCTCTGTACAAGTATCCTGATGTTGTCAATTCTGTGAAACTTCATTTTTACAAACACTATTGACAACGGGTGAAAGAGACAAACCACTGTACTGGTTGAAATAATCCTTGGTTTAGATTTAAGCCACTGGTGTAGGTAATTCCTCTGTGCACAGAAAGCTAGAAAAGCAGTATAAAGAGTGAAGCATGGCTGAGCAAGATATTTCCCCAACACAGAGCTTGGCACAGAGATAAGAAAAGACACCTAAGAATTGTTTCAGAAGAAGGCAATGTTCAAAGCTACGTTTGGAACATGTTTTTGATCAGAAACAGAACATTTTCCTTGCAAGAACAGATTTGGTTTTTGTTTTTATTTGCCGTACACTGATGGCTCTGCCCACCTTGCTGTTATCTCTGCTAACAAGATCACGGCTCCTCCTTTTTCTCCCCTCATTCCAGCTGTCTAACTGCTTTGTGTCTTGCATGGGGGGTCTAGAGGTGACACCGTTATCGAGCCTGACAGAGACTGAGATGTGCGTTCACCTGCTGTGACTGCTCCTTTGCTACTTGTTCAAGCCTCTCCTCTGTTTGTCTCCTATCTGTCACAGGCTGTGATCCAAAACCCTTTCAGTAATGGAGGAAGCCCGGCAGGAGAGGCGGTGGGAGGGGAGACGCGCTTCGCTTACTTCCCCGCAACTGCGGTGAGCGACGGGACCGTGTCTGTGCAGGCCGCCGCAGACCCCACACTCACACAGGCGGGCGGGGGTGAGTCAGCTCTCACACATAATTCAGGCCGAAGCTTAGAACAGTGTCACGGAAAATGAGAGAACAAGAGCCATTTTTTTTCTTGTAATCGTAAATGAACCAACAACCCCCACAGCTCTGGTTCATGAGAGGAAAAAAACACCCTAAAAAGATTTAAATATTTTTAATTTTTGTTGAATACTTATATGATGTGTGGTACAGGTAGATAATACCTTCGACAGTGCCTCAGCTTTTTTTAATTTATAATTATTGAAGTGTATTAACATTCTGTTCACACAATGAAAGATGTTCTATCACACACACCCAGCTACATTTTTTGCTCAGTTTAAAAATATAAATTCCTTTCCCAGTTACAAAGCAGAAACGTTATTTCCATGGAAAAATTATGCTTCCTATAATAGTTTGCAAATGACATTCCGCATTATCGGAGGCTGAAACGAGGTTAGTTACTCATTACATTACATATCACTTGTTAGACACCCTGAGGTCACTTGTTAGACACCCTGAGGTCACTTGTTAGACACCCTGAGGTCACTTGTTAGACGCTTTTATCCAAAGCGACTAACATACTCAATACTGTGGGAAATCCCCACTAGGGCTGCAACAAACGACTCATTTGATAATCGATTAATCTATCGATTAATGAAACGATTAATCGACTATTCGGACTATTTTGCCTCGCACAATTTCTCAAACGCTCTTATTTCAACTTTTAGAATTTAGCTTGAGGTTGTTTTAGGCATGTGGAAACTAACAATAAAGATGAATACTTGATTCAAAAATACATGTATTATTAAATTAACTAAACACATTTTGAACAAGATTAACATTGCTTTTTATTTAAATTCAAAAGATACAACAGTTTTTTAACAAATCGTATTAAATAATGTGATAACAGAACTTTAAACAGCTTTAACAAAATAAATAACTCGGTTACCTCTAATCATTAACACATGTTTGTATAATTGAGTTAACTCCGTGTGTTGCTGCTAGCATAACACCTGGAGAAGTTACTCGTGGATGGGGCTACAGAGCGACAGTCAAACGGTGCATTCCTCCGTCTGGATGTGGAGCACTTTTGTTAAATGTTTAGACAAATTGCTCGTGTTACCGCCCTCACATGCTAAACTCTTCTTGCACTTTTGGCAACGATATTTACTGTGTGCTTCATGTCACATGTCCACACACACCACTGCTCTTCCTCTTTAATGCTGCGTGTCTTCATCTGGCTCTACTAAGAAACGGGTTCTACCGCATAGTTTCTCTTACGTATAGCCCTTTGGTTTACACGAGGCCGTAACCAAACGATAGAAACGGACCCCGCAAACGATAACGGGTCCCAAGGTGGATAGATCTGCAAACGGAACGCTCTGGGGGTTCAAACGGCTCCGTGTCATCGCCTCTATACGATCATTTTCTGATAACTATGAAATAGCCCCGCCTCCCTCTCCCCACGTCTCCCTCTCCCCACGTCTCTGCTGGGCTGTCAGAAGAGGGGGAGGAAAAGAGAGGCACCGTTTATTATTATTATACACAGAGAACAGTCGTTATCAATTTGTTTTAAAGCTCAATAAATAACAAAGAACCTCTGACCGGCACCTTTCTAATTTTGTACGGAAGATTTAAACTTTAACGGACATGTTGACCGGCGAATTTTTTTTTTACGGAAACTCTGCCGCACGGTTCCCTCGTCCCTTGGAAGAGGCGGAGAGGTGGGTGTTTTTCATCTGCTGGTGGACTACCTGAGAGATATACAGCAGGAGCACACGCCGTCCACCGCGGAGAATAAACAGAAGGGCAACCATGGCAACCATGCTCCGGGGTCTTCTTCGCTGCTTTTGCTGTATTTTGTGGCGGCAGCAGCGCCACTTACAGGCCTGGCATATATACTACAGCGTTTCCAGCGGTCTCGTGTGAACGGACACGTTAATGAATCGAATGCGTGTGAACGGAAGACTTTTTTGAAAACGCAAACGGTGCGTAAACGCAAACGTTCCCGTGTAAATGGGGTCTCAGTGTCTTTGCGTTTTCATGGTGGCCCTGACGCGGCTGGTGGACTGTGAGTGAGGGTGGTCAGTAGATGGTGGAACTGTAGAGCAGGATGCAGCCCCCTGGCTCTGTCATACACAGCCAACATCTGCTTGTTCTGGCAAACTATTGCCCAGACAGTGTTTATGGGAGGAATGGGAAATTAATCACCTTTTTGTTTCTGCTGGTGTCTCTGCTCTATGCCGCACTGTTGGCCCAGACTAGAGGTCTGCATCGGCATGAAACGGACTCATAAACGAGGCCTGTACCTGCATCTTCAGACCCAATTCTAACCCAGTCTTATCTTATGTTGTTTTTCAGCTATTCCTTTTTATAAGAAAAATGTTTGCTTGTAAAAAAACATGCTTGTTTTGTCCCAACAACAGAACCCGTAGATGTTCAATTCACTGTCACATATCACAAAAACCATGTCATTGTGGTATCGGGGGTGCCTGTATGTGCATTCATACGTCCACCCATCCTATTCTAGAGAATGAGATTCCTCAGTATGGTTTTGAGGGAATTTCTTCAAATTTGGCACAAACTTCCACTTTGGACTAAAGAATGAAATGATTCGATTTTGAGGGTCAAAGGAAAAGCTCACTGTGTCCTGAGAAAGATGTGATGATTTTGAGAATGTTCATACATTAGGACACAGTTCAGAGTCACGGGTCAGAGTCAGATGAGCTCCTCTTTACCAAGTATCTTATGCATTTCACCCTTCACTGACACTAAGGCACGTCTGTTTCTAGCCAAGTGTGCATTTCACTGTGTTGCAATTGCATCACATGAAGCACTTTCAGAGATCTCTGACGCCCTTAAAGCCATTTAGCTGTGTGAATAGGCACAACTCAATTAGGGCTTTTATGACACACTCAAAATGCAGAGGCACAAAACCAAAAGGAATTCGCTGCTTTATTATTTTTTTTCTGTGTGTTGAGTGGTTGCCTTGTGATGCCACAGACAGGGAAGAAGACCATGAGGTTCATTTGCTGTGGGTCAGGGCTGAAGCCAGGGCCTTGCAGGAGGAAACGGGCAGCTGTTTGACTTTTCTGTGAGCCCGAGGCATAACATACTGTAGGGTGAAGGTGGAGACTGGTTTACAAGCCTCCATCTCCTATGAGCTGAGGGATAGTGCAGGAAGTTCTGGAAGTAAACCACAATCTGGCAGGACTTGATTCAGGGGTGGAGTGCTCGACATTTCTACAGAGCGTCGTAGTGTAGTCCTTTCGCAACCACCATCATCTTTCACCCTAAAAAAACCGAAATTTCTAAAAGGATAAATTCTGTTAAAACTCACTGATTCCATTTCATTATGAATCCAAACATCTGATATCGAAGACCAAAGCTGAAAGAAAAAATGCAAACGAGCTGCTATCCTTCATCATCATTTCGTTTTTGGGAAAAGGAATAAACTACAGGCTGAACCCTAAATGCTGTTGGGATTATATCTTTAACTGTTCATTAGTATTCAAAATGTGCCTAAGAAATGCAAGCCCTGTTATTTGGTTTACTGGGGATGGTTTTGTTTGATGGGACATTCATTTTTGTGAATGTCTTTGGGGACTGGGAATATGATGGTTTCACTCCGTGATAATTGTACATGAGAGGGTTTCAAGCAGAGTTGTTTATTTCTTGTAAGTGTTGTTTTGTATTTGTCCACAAGGATTTGGGCTGTGATGATTTCATTTCTGTTATTTGTTGTGAGATATTTCAATTGCAGCCACAATATTGATTCTTTTATGCCCCTTTGTCTTTTTTTTTCTCACTGCTAACCGATGCCTGCCATGTCTCCACAGGTCAGTTTTATGTGATGATGACCCCCCCTGATGTCATTCAGACAGGGACGCAACGAACCATCGCCCCCCGCACACAGTCCTACCCTGCGTGAGTATCAGCTCTATTAGTAGCTGACTGGGAACATGAGACAGCATTGATATAGCAGTTAGATATCCTGCTGTTTCTTTAAAAAAAAAAGCTCACTGCTGGTCAGCTGTTGTAAAAAGAGAATTCATATGTTCCATTCAAAAGGGGCCATTTGTGACTTGCTTGAAATGTGGTTGGAGTTTAGCAGTGGGACAAATAGCTTTTTAATGTTTCTTCCACGGGGCTTTTCACAGCTATTAATGACATTTAACAAATTCACATAAACTTGACACAGACTTTAACACATGAGTTGAAAAGAAAAAGCCTGCTGAATTCACATAAATGCTAATGCAGGCCTGGGAAGTGGAGGGAGTTAAACTGCTGAGAACTGTGCAGAGGTGTACGAAGAGAGAAAGAGCACCAACACTGGTTTATATGGACTGCCTATTGGTTTAAAATCGATCAGGTCCATCAATGATTGGATGTTATAAAGACATGTGACCACAAAACAACGTGCACGACTATTTGATCAACCCCAAGGCTAACTTTATGCAACATGAAATGCTACTGTAGTTGTTGTATTAGTGAGTCTATCATCTCTCTCCTGAGTTTGATTTTGGCTTATCTATTTTTCACAAATCTCTTTATGATGTCTATTCCTAAAAATCTCCACATGCATTATTATAATCATGCATCAGAAGGGATCCATCTCAGACTATCTCCAACTGTTAGCCGCACGCTGCTGATTGCTGTTATTAAGATAATCAGCAGGCTCACGTGGGCAACAACAAACCGAGTTCTCACTTTAATTGCATGACACCCGCCTTGTTCTTGCCTTATACCGATATTTACTGAGGCTTAATTTTCAGATCATTGTCACATGTGGTACAGTTATGAGGATTGCAACTTTCTCTTGCCAAAGCACAGCAATTTGCCACTTTGGTCCCCCGAAATGAACACAAGACCCATTGTTGAATTGAGTTATCACTAGGGCTGCTCGATTATGGCAAAAATCATAATCACGATTATTTGGGTCAATAATTGTAATTGCGATTATTAAATGAGATTATTCATTGACTTTGAAAACATCCATTTATTGGAGAATTTTTTTGGAACAGTATGTTTTTAACAGTTGATTACCCTGAACTTTAAGTATAATTCAACTGAAAAAAAAAAAAAAATTATTATATTAAAAAAAAAAAAAAAAAAAAAAATAAA